CGAAGTGTGATTGGACACACAAGGAATTGTCTTGATGCAAAAGTAGGAAAACAAGACTTACCTAATATTGTCCTGGACTTTTTTAATATCCAAGATTGTCTCGGAAAACAGGAACGAGCTTTTCAAGACCTTTTCTAAGTCTGCAATTTTATTTTCATAGCCTTTAAAGTTGAAATCACAGCCCGGCGTAGTTTTCCTCTTCTCTGCTAGCGTGGCGGCAAATTTCAATAATTTTTGAATCCTCCGCGACAACGAATTCATGATATTATCCCACTGATCGAAACAAATGTGACAGCGAGGACAGGAGGGGAATTCTTGGTTGTGATTGCGTGCACACTGATCGCAGTGCTTTCCGGTGAAGCCAGTCCGGCAGTGACACACTCCGGTGTCTTGATCACACGTGGGAATCAGAGTTCCCTCCTTATTACACTTACATTCTGAGGAAAAGAGAAACAATAGTGTTCAAAGGAAAAGGATGAAAAATCATCAAAAGAATGTAAAGCAATGCAGGGAGTCTAGAGATGAGAATGTGATTAGGAAAATATTAGAATGTGCAGAAAATGAACAGATTAACGCTTGCTATAAAGGAGAAAGAACAAACTAAATACAGTATTATATGACGTGGGAGCTATTTGATGGAGGGTTGGAGAATAAAAACAGAAGTGAGAAATGAATGGAGATTAGTAAAATAAAGAAAATACGTTAAGATAGAGATATGAACAATATGATGATGACTAATACGATTGTTAAGATTATTATACCTATTATCTATATCAAGGGTCTTCAAACTTGGCAAGTTTAAGACCTGTGGTCTTCAACTCCTAGAATTCCTGAGCTAACATGACTGGAGGAAGAATTCTGGGAGCTGAAGTCCACAAGTCTTAAAGCTGTCAAGTTTGAAGATCCCTGAATATATATAAAAGCGAAATACCCCTCACGCACCATCACAAAATCTCCAGAACCGTAAAGCCTACAAACTTGACATTTGGCACCTATGTTCCTCTTGGCTCCTAGGTGCTCACTAAGAAAGGATTTTTTGAAATGACCACCTGAGCTTTAGTATTTCTTTTATTATTATTATTATTATTATTATTATTATTATTATTATTATTATTATTATTATTATTATTATTATTATTATTATTATTATTAACATACTCTGATGCTAAGGAGTTCTACTCCCCCTCCCCATCTGAAAAGAAATATGTTCCAAATGCAAAACACAAGCAGAGGAGAGGAGTTTTAGTTTCAGTTTCAGTTTCACAGCAGCAAGAAGCTTTGGTACAGAACAGTTGAACTAAGCCATGCCCAGGCTCCTTGCTGTCTTCTTCTTGCTCACATAGCAAATACTTCAGTTTCCAAACAGCCCTCAACTCTCTCACACACTGACTGGATGCTAGCCAGATGAATACTGATGGATGCTGGTAGGTGGAGGCACAATTTTCCCCCCTTATTTTCCTCCCCAAAAACTAAGCCCAACCACATAGTTTCGTACCGAAACACGGGTATCGAGCTAGTAATATTATATTTTCATTAAAAGATATGTTAAGAGGGAGACATGAATAGAGTCTTAATGCTGATGATTATTATAAGATTAGAGAATTATTATCAATGCTATATACAATACTGTACATTTGGATTGTAATAGCACATAGACATTTGTACCCAGACAACACACTGTTTAACAGAAGATGATACGTTCAGGTTAAAAATCAAAAATCAAAAACTTAAAAAAAAGAAAAACAACCTACGACCGCAATTGAGCTCAAAATTGATGTTGCAAAGTGAGAAAATTGTCAAGTGAGGGCTGTCCCATTTTACAACTTTCTTGCTACTGTTATGAAGTGGAAACATTACGGTTGTTAAGTTAGTAGCACAGTTGCTAAGTGAATCTGGATTCACTTGGCGTTGCTTTCCAGAAGGGTCACCGAAGGCGATCACATGACCCTGGAACATTGTGACCGTCGTAAATGTGAGCCATTTGTCAAGCATACCAACGTAAGTCATTTACCGTGGGGATGCTACAATGGTCCTAAGTGTGAAAAATGGTCCTAAATCACCTTTTTCCACTGCCGTTCTAACTTCAGATGGATCCTAAGTGAACTGTTGAACAGTCAACCTGTAATTTAAGGTTGTTAGTTATATGAGTGTACCCCACGTGTCATGCCCTTGTTAGAGTCAGATTCTGAGGAAAAGGAGGAATAGCCAACAGGGAGTGGAGGTGTGGCTCCAGAGGTTGTGGAGGAGGCTGGGAAAGGGCAGAGGCCGGCTGGGCAGTCAGAGGAAGAACCAGGCCCATCCCCTCTTCATCCTCAGACATGCAGGGAGGAACGGAGAAGGAAACAACTTGGCTTATGAGAGAGGATGCGGCCATGACCCCTCTCATTGGTTGCAGCTGGGGAGACTAGTATATAAGAGAGATGGTTACAATACAGTGTTGCCAGAAGCAAAGTGTGTGTTATTTTGGGCTGAAGTTATCTTGGTTGGCGTCCTTCCAATAGACTATGCCTTGTTATCTCCTTGAAGTTGGTAATTACTTATCCTGGTCCATTGTGGAAATTCCTTCATTGTAGTTTGTTTTAGTTTTTTATTTCACCTCTATCTGCTCGTTAAGTTCGGACTGTATTGCTTTCTTTTGAAGACTATTTTTGAATAAGTTTTATCTCCAATTGAGAATTATTGAACAGTGGGGCCAAGTTGGAGGCATTAAAGAACATTTATTTACATTTTGGATTTTGTTACGTTTGTGTTACAGTCCAGGTCATCACACTACATGGGCCTCTTTTATTTGCTCCTTTCCTGCTGTGTTTGGACTACAATGCCCATCTTTTCTAGGCATAATTATCTGGCTGTGGGATGATAGGTGTTACCACCCCACAGATCAAGAGGGCTTTAGCAACAAGCTGTTACCTGTTACGCCTTAATTACAAGTCATCCTTGAGTTACGAACAAAATTTGAGCCCCAAATTTCTGTTGCTGAGTGAGGCAGTTATTAAATGAGTTTTGACCCCATTTTATGACATTTCTTGCCATGTTTATTAAGTGAACCATTGCAGGTGTTAAATTGGTACCAGGATTGTGAAGTGAATCCGGCTTCCCCTTTGACTTTGCATGTGCAAAGGTCACAAAAGAAGATCCCGAGGTGCTGTAACCATCATAAATATGAGTCAGTTGCCAAGCGTCGGACTTTTGATCCTGTTATTGTGTGAAACAAGCAAACATGTTTAAAAGTTTCGATATAAAATATCTTTACAATCCCTGTCATGCCCCTGTCGGAATCTGACTCGGAGGAGGAAGCCGAACGGCTGACAGAGAGTGGGAGTGTGGCTCCATTGACTGTGGAGGAAACTGGGGAAAGGCTAAGTCCTGGCTGGGCAGAGCAAGGGGAGATGTAGAACAAGGGAGAGGGAATTCAGAGGAAGACCCAGGCCCATCCCCTCTTCATCCTAGGGCACGCAGGGAGGAATGGAGAAGAGAGCAATGTGGGTTGTGAGGCTCATGGAGGAGGAAAGGGCCCTGATTCCCTTCATTAGCTGCAGCTGGGAACACAGTGTATAAAAAAGGCAAGCTACATGCAGCAAACTGTTGGGAGCAAACATGACTTTATCTTGTATCATCGTGGCTGATCTGTGTTCTTGGTGTCTTCCCAACTATGTGAGTTTTGCCGTGCTTTCAAGTTTGAAATTCCTGCTCCTGCCCTGCCAAACTAATTACCTCAGTTTGGTTTGTTTGGATTTTAAGTTACAATTTGTGTATACCTTGTTTTGGACTGAATTTTCTGCAGCCAAAGGCTGTTCCTGGGAGAGTTTTTCTCCAGCCAGAAGGTAACCTGGACATTGGGGAAAAAGTTGGAGATAATAAAGGGACTCTTATTGTTTATCTAAGTGTGTTACCTTTGTACCACACTCTGGGTCATCACAATCCCCAAAGCATGCCACCACCTTTGAGCACCCCTAATGGTTGGAAAGTGAAAGCTGAAACATTTTTGACATGCCCTAACTGGGGATGCTGCGACGGATGCTGTGTAAGTGTGAAAAATGGTCCCAAGTCCCTTTTTTTAAGGGCCCTTGTAACTTTGAACGGTCACTAACCGAATTGTTGTAAGTCAGGGACCAGCTGTAACGCCAAAGTTCTAGGGCTCTTGTTAGACCATATAAGTCTAGCAAACGTTGGTCCACTTACCGATACAATCGATGCCATAATGATTTTCAGCACAGATGTCGCAACGTCTTCCGGCGTAACTGGCGTTACACGGACACTGGCCTGTAAACTACAAAAAGGGTTTGTAGTTAGAACTTGGGGGGGGGGGGGGAGGAACAAGTGAAGTCATTGTATTTCAGCTAGATCCAGATGGTGGAAAATCATGGCTTATTTCCATTTTACAAATCAGCTCTTCAAAGTAGGAACCGTGGTGGTGCAGTGGTTAGAATGCAGTATTGCAGGTTACATCCGCTGACTGCACAGTTTGGCAGTTCAATCCTGACTGGCTCAAGGTTGACTCAGCCTTCCGTCCTTCCAAGGTCAGTAAAATGAGGACCAGATTATTGGGGGCAATAGGTTGATTCTGTAAATCATTTAGAGACGACTGTGAAGCGGTATATAAGTGCTATTGCTCTTCCTTCCTTCCTTCCTTCCTTCCTTCCTTCCTTCCTTCCTTCCTTCCTTCCTTCTTTCCTTCTTCCCTTTCTCATTCTCCTTCCTAGTGGTGCAGTTGTTAAAATGCAGGATTGCAGGCTTACTCTGCCGATTGCCAGGAGTTCGATCCTGACCGGCTGAAGGTCAACTCAGTCTTCTGTCCTTCTGAGGTCGGTAAAATGAGGACCCAGATTGTTGGGGGCAAGAGGCTGACTCTGTAAACCGCTTATAGAGGGACGTAAAGCGCTGTGAAGAAGTATATAAGTCTTAGTGTTATTGCTATTGCTAGTCCAGACAAGAAGCACAACTCTGTTGGAAGAGTACCAACTCTGTTGTAAGATTGTTTGTTGTTGTTGTTCAGTTGTTGTTGTTGTTGTTCCAGCCACCCTATTTATCACAGCATGACAGGCCTCCCTGTTCTCCATCATCTCTTGGAATTTCCTCAAATTGATGTTCATTGCATTGATGATACTATCTAAACATCTCCTTGTCTGCCTTCCATCTTTCCCCAACATCTGGGTTTCCTCCAAGGAGCTCTCTCTTTTCATTAGGTGGCCATTTGAGCTTCAGAATCTGTCCTTCCAAAGGACAATCAGAATTGATTTCCTTTAGGATCGACTGATTGGATCTCCTTCCAGTCCAAGGAACTCTCAAGAGTTCTCTTCTCCAACACTACAATTCGAAAGCCTCAATTCTTCGGCGCTCAGCCTTCCTTATGGTCCCAAATCTCACAGCCATGCATTACTACTGGGAAAACCATAGCTTTGTGTTGGAATACAGTGTTCATATATTTTGCACAACTACAGCAGTATTCAGTAGAGATATATATTCTTCAACCAGTAGATGACAGTGTTTATATGTTTGTAGTTGCATCTGTGGTATACTCTATGTCTTTTCTCTGAAATTTCCTGCTTTTTTGTGGCAGTTAAGCAGAAAAGCACATGTGGACTGTGCACTGTCTGTTCTATAGGGCTATATACAGAATTTCTAACACTTTGACTATAGGGGCTTTTTTTTGCAAGGTGATAACTCTGCTTTTTAATAGGCTGCCTAGGTTTGCCATAGCTTTCCTCCCAGGGAGCAAGCATCTTTTAATTTCATGGCTGTAGTCACCATCTGCAGTTGCAAGATAACATTAACAAAATCTTGCAAGTACATCTCTTGTCCCTCACCTTTACAGTCCAAGTTACTAGGGAGGGTCCCTTCTGAGATGTTCACCATGCCTTCCCTCCTTCTGAGGACTGAGAAATCATTTACATGCTGCCTGCCCAGTCTGTAGCTCTTCCTCCTGCTTCCCAAGGTCATTCCCACATACCATTACATATTATCATAAGATTATTCAGTTTAATAAATTTTGAGCCCTGGTGTTCCACTATATCTTTTAATTTTAAAAATACATTAAGGTCAAGAATCTTGCCTGATCACAAATGTTGTTTATGGAGCGTTTGGGATGGCAGCCACAGGGACAGCATCCTCTTCTCTGGGCCATGTTCCAGAAGCCAGGAGCACATTGGTCACACTTCTCGCCTATCACATGAGGGGAGCAAGGGCATTCACCAGTGGTCTGGTCACATGCGCAAAAGTCACTTCCAGGTGGGCATTTTGCTGGATTCACACCCAAAAGGTTGCAGTTACATTCTGAAAAGATATCAGACATCATGATAGAAAGATGATCCAAAGCTTAAGATCAGACCTTCAATCAAGAAGCAAACAATACCCCAGTGAAGAAACTGGCAAACAAGTTAACAGCAAACAGCCTAATCCAGGGATCTGCAACCTCTGGCTCTGGAGCCGCATGCAGCTCTTTCAGCCCTCTGCTGCGACTCCCTGTCAGCTGATCCCATTACTGGCTGGCCCCACCCTTCCTCTCCCCATCATTCCTCGCCTGGCCTGAGAAGGTAAGGGTGATGGCGGGGGATGGAGACTCACTCCATATTCCAGAACAGAAGGTGACTGGGCGGGAATGAGTGATGTCGAGTTGGCCACGCCCACCCAGTCACACCGGTTGTTAAATTATTGGCTCCCGGTATTTTCTTTTCTGTGGGAAACGAGTCCAAATGGCTCCTTGAGTGTCAAGGTTGCAGACACCCGGCCTAACTAAAGAACGTCTAAGACCATTCCCACCTAAACTGACAAAGGAAGCCACCAGAATATAAACTGAGAGCAAACCCCACTCCTTACAAGCACTGATGATGCTACCTAGTTGGGTAATGAGACACCTACAGACAGTGGTGGGATTCAAATACGTAATTTACCAACTGGTTCTCTGCCCTAATGCCCATTTTAAGTAAAATGGGCATTAGGGTGAAGAACTGGTTGTCAAAATGGGTCCTGGGCACTGCGCTATAATGGAGAAATGGGAAATGGAGTGACCATTGCGTTTCTCCATCGCGTTTCTCGCCATCATGTGCAGGGAAACAAAAGTTTCTGGGAGTAAAAAACAACAACAACCCCACTTGTTTCAGCACCCTTTCTGACCCTCTGGTGCTCTGTCGGCGCTTTGGTCCTGCCTGGGCTGCCGCCTTATGCACAGGTCCCACCCTGGCAAAGCGGTTATTTATCATTTATATACTGTATTTATTTATCATAAACGGTTTGCCTAACTCCACAAAAAATTAGGTATCAGTTCTGGCAAACCGGTGCAAACTGGCTGAATCCCACTACTGCCTACAGGAAAACAACCAAGTTTAGAGAGCACCAAAGACACGCCCGATGATCAATTTAGCAAATCACTTCCTACTACCATGTTTAATTAATGGACATTCATCCCTGGCACTATTCCAGTTGGTTCTTGTGCGAAGAGAGACACACTGAGGTTCTTCAAACAATTTCCTGTATTGTTCTTCATCTATAGACCGAAAACTTGCCAAACTAAAGCAGATGACTTGCATCATAAAATATATATGTATTCAGGGAACTGTCAGGGAGCAGCTGTCTTCACCCTCTTTCTCCCACACGTTACATTTCTCTGTCTCTTGCTTCCCCGGTATGCAGCCCCTCCCTCCCTCCCTTCCTCCTGGGAATCCAGACTACATTCCATCACACTTACTTACCTCTACAGTTCCTCAGAAGTGCTGATCCAAAATAACCAGGTTTACAGAACTGGCAGTTTGGTCCATGAGTGTTGTGTAAGCATTTTGAACACTCTCCAGTGTCCTTGTTGCAAGACTCTGGGTCTGCCACATCCGTGTTGTTATTGCAAAAACAAGGAAGACATTGATTTGCTGGTGCACTTGGATTTCCATGGAATCCACTGGAGCATTTATCACAGCGGTCACCTATGAATGTGGAAGTCATACACAATTACAATTAATTAAATGTGCTGGTATATAGGTTGGTTATTACGAGGCTAATTTTTTTCCCAAACCAATCTGTTAATTACCAGTAAAATCTAGATTGCATTAAAAACTTACGTTTCCTGCTTTCTCTTGCTTTAGAACACAGAATAACAGAGTTGTAAGGGACCTTGGAGGTCTTCTAGTCCACACTCTGGATCAAGCAGGACACCCTATACTAGGGGTCACCAACCTTTTGGACCTCAGGGACACCAAACTCATAATTTTAAATCCCAGGGACCACTAATATGAATTTTGACTGACGGTGGCTTGCTGACATTGGTGGGAGAGAGAGAGAGAGATCTGATCTAATCTCCCTCTCTCCCTCCCTCCCTCTCTCTCTCTCACTCACACACACACACACACACATACACAAACACACAGAGGCAGGGGTGGGATTCAAATTTCTTAACAACCGGTTCTGTGGGCATGGCCTAATTTGTGGGTGTGGCTTGGTGGTCATGTGACTGGCTGGGCATGGCTTTTATGTAAATATTATAAATATTTATGTAAATATTGAATTTTTTTATTTAAAAAAGAGCAACTTTTACCCAAAATCAGGCAAAGCAGGCAGGCAGATTGAGTTGCTCACAGAATCACAGATTCACTCAGAGATCTATCTTTCTGCCATCGGCTACCTGAGTCTGCACTGAATAATAGAAGCTTCAGTCTTAAAAGCAGAGCCAAAGATCCAACGATTTCCTGATTTCTAGCTAATCTAAATCTCCTGGCACAGTAGAACAGCTGATGGTCGGGAAAAAGAAAAAGGAAAAATAGCAACTTAGCAGGCAAGTTTGCCGGGTAAGGAGTGAGTGGGCGGGGAGGGTTCCCGCAAGCCATGTGGGCCACACAGCCTTGTGTTCCTGCTCAGCCTGGATTAATTGCTTTAAGGGGTGCTCTGGGGGTGACATTTCTCTGTGGACTCCAAAATTTTCTCACGGACCACCAGTGGGCCACGGCTCACCAGTTGGCGACCACCGCCCTATACCATTCCTGACAAATAGCTGTCCAACCTCTTATTGAAAACCTCCAGTGTTGGAGTTTTAACTTCTGGAGGAAAGCCGTTCCACTTATTCATTTTTCTCATTGTCAGGAAATTTCTCCTTCGTTCTGGGCTGGAAATCCCAATTCTTTCTCAGTTCCCAGTTCCACTTATGATACCTCTCAGCTTTCAGAGCAACCTATTTTCCATTTTCACTCCAGCGAACCTCTGAGATCACTCTTCATTTTAAACAGTCTTTGGTTCGGGGAGAATTTGATTCTTGGCTGCTTCTAAACCTAATAGCATGAACATATACTGAATTTGGTGGGATTTTTGATGGAAAATGGGCAGCTTGCTATCCCGAAAGGTGCCTTTTCGAAAGGCAGCTGGACTTTGTTTTTCCTTGAAGATGTTTTGCTTCTCATGCAAAAAGCTTCTTCAGTTCTTCTTGGAGGAGAAGCGAAACATCTTCAAGCAAACATAAACAAAATTCCGTTGCCTTTTGAAAAAGCAGCTTTGGGACAGTCATCACTTGGATGACCGAGAGTCTCCATAAACACTGAGCAACCTACTAACTAGTATAACTGGTGGGGAAACAAAACAACCACTTCACAAACACATGGCACAACATAGGAGAACAAATCCACCAGGACTAGATTCAGCAGTCCATCTTCAGATACAGATACAGATAATCAGAGTTGGAAGGGACCTTATAGGTCATCTAGTCCAAGCCCCCACCCAAGTGGGAGACCCTACACCATTTCTGACGAATGGCAGCCCAATCTCTTCTTGAAAGCCTCCAGGGATGAAGCTCCCACAACTTCTGAAGGCAACTTCTGTTCCATTGGTTGATTGTTCTCATTGTCAGAAAGTTTCTCCTTATTTCCAGGTTGAATCTCTCCTTCTTCAGTTTCCATCCATTATTCCTTGTCTGGCCTTCAGGTGCTTTAGAAAATAGCTTGATTCCTTCCTCCTCTCTGGGGCAGCCTCTCAAATATTGGAAGACTGCTCTCATGTCTCCCTTGGTTCGTTTAATAGACACAGGCCCCTCTCTTGAAGACGGCAAACTCCACATTTTGGACAGAGAGGACCGCTGGTTTGAAAGAGGGGGTCCAAGAGACCATCTATGTCCAAATTGGACAGCCCCTTCTCAACAGAGGGAGAGGGATATGACATCATCTATCTCCACTCTACAACACAGTCCTTTCAGCAGTTCCAAAAAGACTCCACGCCCATTTGCACCACTCAGGTGACCCTGAGGACACAGATTAAACCTCCAAGTGGCCTCAACGACCCTCTAAAAAGGATGCAAATGACCAGCTGTCTGCAAGGAGTACCAATCCTTCCATTCCTCACCATCCAGTCAGAGCTGAAAAATCTTCTTGGAGGAGAAGCAAAACGTCTTCAGAAGAAAAACCAGAAAGTCCAGTTGCCTCTTGAGGAAAAAAAAAAAAAGCACTTTTGGGACAACCATGACCTGGATGATTGAGAATGTCCATAGACCATTTGAGGCATCACTTCCTAGACTAGACATCAAATACTGTTTTTGTGAACCTTTAGCCACAAAAAGCGATCTAAAGATGGCAAAAGTTTCCTACCTGAATAGCCCGCAAAGCATTTGCAGATTAACCGTTTGGTCTGAGGGTCTTGGAAACAGGAATGTGCAAAATATCTCTTGCTGGTTGGGGAATCTGGGCACATACAAGGATGACAAGGTTCTCTTTCCACGGGATTTCCATAATACCCATCCAAGCACCTGCACCAAACATAGTTAATATTTAAAAAAACAGTATACCGCATAAAATAGCTAAAAAACATCATCTTAGAGAAGTAATTTAAACAAGCACTACAAAAACAGAACCTAGAAACATGCACACCTGGAGAGGGAAGTTGGGTGGGGAACTTACCAAATTTGCAGATGATACTAATGGCAGGAATAGCTAACACCCAAGAAGATGGGCTCAAGATCCAGGTGGATCTTGACAGACTAGAACACAGGGCCATATCTAACAAAATGAAATTCAATGTAGAGAAAAGTAAACTCCTGCACTTAGGTAAGAAAAATCAAAAGGACACATATAGACTGGGTGAAACCAGGCTCAATAGCAGACACTGTGAGAGGGATCTTGGAGTCTTCGTGGACAACCAGCTAAATAGGAGCCAGCCGTGTGCAGCAGCAGCCAAAAAAGCCAACGCAATCCTAAGTTGTATTAACAGAGGGATATAATCAAGATCAAGGGAGGTACTAATACCACTCTATAAAGCCTTAGTAAGACCACACCTAGAGTACTGCATCCAGTTTTGGTCACCACACTATAAAAAAGATGTTGAGACTCTAGTCTAGAAGAAATATAGAGAAGAGCAACCAGGATGATGAGGGGACTGGAGACTAAAACATACGATGAACGGTTGCAGGAACTGGGCACAGCTAGTCTGGTGAAGAGAAGGACCAGGGGAGACATGATAGCAGTCTTCCAATATTTGAGGGGCGGCCACAGAGAGGAGGGGGTCAAGCTATTCTCCAAGGCACCTGAAGGCCAGACAGGGAATAAAGGATGGAAACTGAACAAGGAGAGATTTAACCTGGGAATAAGGAGAAACTTTCTGACAGTGAGAACAATCAACCAATGGAACAGAAGTTGCCCTTGGAAGTTGTGGGAGTGTCATCACTTGAGATTTTCAAGAAGAGATTGGATTCCCATCTGTCAGAAATGGTGTAGGGTCTCCTGCTTGGGCAGGGGGTTGGACTAGATGACCTACAAAGTCCCTTCCAACTCTGATTATCTGTTATTTATCCATCTGTCTTTACCTTTCACAGTTAGATCCGGTGGTGAAGCTTGTGCAGTTCAAACACACTCCAGTCCGCGGATCGCAAAGTTCCGCGAAGCCGTTGCAAGCACAAGGACGACAATGGGGAAAGCCAAAATATCCAACTAGGCATTGATGGCACTGCTGGCCGGCTACTTCCGGTCGACAGGAACACTGTCCAGTCACCTGGTCACACAGGGTGTCTACTGATCCTTGAGGATGACAGTCACATGCTACATTGACAAAAGAAAAGACAACAGTTTTAGATGGCCTCTTATTTGGTTAATCTGGAATCCTTAGTGCTCTCTGAGCTTGGTTGTTTTCTTGCAGACGTTTCATTACCAAACTAGGTAGCATCATCAGTGCTAGTAGGGAGTGGGGTTTGCGAGGAGGAGGAGGAGGAGGAGGAGGAGGAGGAGGACTATGGAGTCCTCAACCTCTCTGAGCCCCTTCCTCTACAGATGTATAAATATTGGAAGACTACTATCATGTCTCCCCTGGTCCTTCTTTTCACTAGACTAGCCAGGCCCAGTTCCTGCAACCATTCATCATATGTTTTAGCCTCCAGTTCCCTAATCATCCTGGTTGCTCTTCTCTGTACTCTTTCTAGAGTCTCAACATCTTTTTTATAATGTGGTGACCAAAACTGGAAGCAGTACTCTTAGGTGTGGTCTTACTAAGGCTTTATAGAGTGGTATTAGTACCTCACTTGATCTCTGTTGTATCCCTCTGTTAATACAATTTAGGATTGCATTAGCCTTTTTGACTGCTGCTGCACACTGCTGGCTCCTATTTAGCTGGTTGTCCACTAAGACTCCAAGACTCTTGGAATACTCCATCCAATCTGGATGGAGTATTCCAAGTGTGGCCTTACCAAGGCATTATAAAGCCTTGGTAGTAATGCTTCATGTGATCTTGATTCTATCCCTCTGTTAATGCAGCCTAGGACTGTGTTGGCTTTTTTGGTAGCTGCCACACACGGCTGACTCATATTTAAGTGATTGTCCACTAGGAATGTAAGATCACCCCTCACAGTTACTACTATTGAGCCAGGTACCACATTGCATTTGGTTATTCTTGCCTAAATATAGTACTTTATATTTCTCACCCTTGAATTTCATTTTGTTCGATAGATTTACGTCTCAGGGTAAGTGTATATTCAGTAAAAAGAGGTCACAATTGGTGTATTGGACTGGACATAGATCGTTACTTACCAAGGCAACCTTGAGGCCCGAAGCTGTGACTCCCGGCTGCACATTTATCGCAACAGCGTCCTACAACATTGGGTTTGCATTGGCACTGGCCTCCAAGTTTTGTGCAGTGGGAATTCAGGGAACCTTGTGGATGGCACCTGCAGGCTTTGGGGAGAAATGTACATTTTTATAACTGTATTTCCCCCAAAATAAGAGATACTCAGACGAAGGCATGTGTCATACCCCTGTCAGAGTCTGAATCTGAGGAGGAAACCGGACAGCTGACAGGGAGTGGGAGGGTGGCTCCGTTGGCTGTGGAGGAAACTGGGGAAGGGCAAAGTCCGGCTGGGCAGAGCAGGAAAGAGGTAGAACAAGGGAGAGGGAGTTCAGAGGAAGACCCAGGCCCACCCCCTCTTCATCCTAGGGCATGCAGGGAGGAATGGAAAAGAGAGCAACATGGGTTGCGTGGCTTATGGGGGAGGAAAGGGCTCTGATTCCCTTCATTAGCCACACCTGGGAATGAGAGTTTAAAAGAAATGCAGGCTGCGTGCGATAGCTACTGGGAGCAAACATGAGTTTATCTTGTGTTGACTTTGGTTATCTGTGTTCCTGGTGTCTTCCCAACTGTGTGGAGTTATTGCCGTGCCTTCATGTCTGGAATTCTTGCTCCTGCCCTGCCGAACTAATTACCTCATTTTGCCTTGATTGGACTTATAGTTACAGTTTTTGTTGACCACGTTTTGGACTTAATTCTCCAGCCCAGAAGGTAATCAGGACATTGGGGGTAAAGTTGGAGCTAATAAAGGAACTCCTACTGATTATCTGACTGTTGCCTTTGTGCCACGCCCCAGGTCATCACAGCATGACAATATGTGGATAATACAATAGAGGAGATACAATATTTCAACAGGTAGAAGACAAGGACTTACGGACGGCACCATTGTGAATCCGGGCAGACAAACTCGCAATAAGTTTTGCGCAGGTTTCCGGTAAGATGTGTGGTCCGATTTCCGAGGCACTTTCCACGCAATGATACTGCTGAAACTCCTCTAAATCATTTTGATCGCAAAGGTTTTCCACAGAAGCGATGGCAGGGAGGAGTCCGATCTACAACATTAATAGAAGTCGCAAAACACCGGAGAATACAGCTAGTCCCCGAGATCCAACAGATCACTTAATGAATGTCCAAAGTTACGACAGATGCCCCCAAATTACCTAGGACCCTGTTTCAAAGTTACACTGCTTGAAGGGCTCCTGCAGTCATTTGGCCTTACGACTGGTATCATTTTTAACAGTTGAAAGAAATGATAATAGTGTTGTGGTTCGCCAGCAGCAGGTGAAGACGGCTGAGGTCTCGGAGAGCGAGGACTCAGATGAGGGGCCTGCTTGTGATGCAGGGATGGGGCCAGGACCATCAGGGAGTGGAGTGCTGCCTTTGGAGATTGTGGGGGCTGGCAGCGGTGATGAAGAGGTCCCCGAGGAGCCCGTGCCCAACGTGCATGCACGCAGGGCTGCTTGAAGGAAAGAGCAGCTGCAGCAGCACGGGCAACTCGGGAGTAAGGCTGCAAGGAAATGGCCCCTCCCTTAAGAGATAAAAGCCATCTGAGAAACTGGAGTTCTTTGTAGGAAGCAAAGAAGTTTTTGCACTCAAGCCTTGTGGACGTTCGGAGTATCTTCGTTAGTGTTTGGAGACTCTTTGTGTTTGAAATATTTCTTAGCAACTTTATCTCGTGTTCTTGGCAGCCTTGCACCACCTTGGCAAGGCTCGTTCTTGTCAGAGACAATTAGTTCGAAACAGCCTTTTAACCGTGAAGGAACGGGATTTGTAAAGAATCATTAAAAGGTTTTTCTGTTACCTCTGTTTCGTGTCTGTTTCCTTGGAACAAGGTTTGGGTCAGAACAATAAAATTATTGCCTGACAGTTCGTATAAATGCATCGTTATTGCAAATACATTATTGCAATATAGGTAGTCCACAACATAACAGTTCATTTAGTGACCATTCAAAGTTTCAACGGCACTGGAGAAAAAGGGACTTATAACCATTTTTCACACTTATGACCTTTGTAGCATCCCCACAGTCACGTGATTGAAATTTAGATGCTTGGCAACTGACTCCTATTTCTGATGGTCACTGCATCCTGGGGTCATGTGATCCCCTTTTACGACCTTCTGATAAGCAACATCAATGGGGAAGATGGATTCACTTAACGACTGGATTACTAATTTATCAACTGTATTGATTCACTTAACAACGGTGGCAAGAAAGGTCATGAAATGGGGCAAAACTCATTTAACAAATGTCTGACATAACAATGGAAGTGTTGGGCTCCATTGCGGTTGTAACTCAAAGACTACCTGTGTAACTGTTGGGATAAATTGATAGATAATAGAAAGCAATCGATCCCCCAAATCCATTAAGTCAAACAGAAAACAAACATTATGACTGTATCATTGCTACTTACTGAATCAACCAGTATGGAGGATTGAGACTCCGGTTCTGGATCTGAAGTCTTGGAAAAATAGACATCTATAAAATATTCTCTCTTTGGTTGTAAGCATATCGGAGTAGATAGAAACTGAATTCTGTTGAAAAGAATTAATGCATCATTTAGGGATTTAAAAACACAGTTATTCCAGGGATGGGATTCTACTGGTTTGGACTGGTTCTATAGAACCAGTTGTTATGATTCTGCGCAGTTCGGAGAACCGGCAAATCGTGTCTATTCTGTTCTGTTCTGTTCTGTTCTGTTCTGTCCTGTCCTATTCCATTCCATTCCATTCCATTCCATTCCTTTCCTTTCCTTTCCTTTCCTTTCCTTTCCTTTCCTTTCTTTTCTTTTCCTTTTCTTTTCTTTTCTTTTCTTTTCTTTTCTTTTCTATTCTATTTCATTCCATTCCATTCCATTCCACTCCACTCCACTCCACTCCACTTTATTCTACTCTACTCTAGTCTACTGTATTCATTCTGGATCATTCCATTCCGTTCTACTTTATTCTTATTCTTATCTTTTCTATTCTATTCTATTCTATTCTATTCTATTCTATTCTATTCTATTCTATTCTATTCTATTCTATTCTACTCATTCCGTTCCGTTCCATTCCATTCTATTTTATTTTATCTTTTCTTTTCTATTCATTTCCATTCCATGCCACCCCACTCCACTCCACTCTACTCTACTCTATTCTATTCATTCCATTCTGTTCCATTCTGTTCTACTTTATTCTTATTCTTATGTTTTCTTTTTCTATTCTATTCTGTTCTGTTCTGTTCTGTTCTGTTCCGTTCCGTTCCTTTCCATTCCATTCCACTCCACTCCACTCCACTCTACTCATTCCATTCCATTCCATTCTGTTCTATTTTATTCGTATTGTTTTCTGTTGTTTTCTATTCATTTCCATGTGATGCCTCTCCACTCCACTCCAACCTACTCTATTTTACTCTACTCTATTCTATTCTATTCATTCCATACCATTCCATTCTACTTTATTCTTATTCTTATGTTTTCTTATTCTGTTCTGTTCTGTTCTGTTCTATTCTATTCTATTCTATTCTATTCTATTCTATTCTATTCTATTCTATTCTATTCTACCCTACCCTACCCTACCCTACCCTACCCTACCCTACCCTACCTTACTCTATTCATTCCGTTCCATTCTGTTCCATTCCATTCAACTCTGTTTTATTCTTATGTATTCTATTCTATTCTATTCATTCCATTCTGTTCTATTTTATTCTTATGTTTTCTTATTCTATTCTATTCGTTCCGTTCTGTTCTGTTCTATTTTATTCTTATGTTTTCTTTTCCTATTCTATTCTATTTTTTATCTTTTTAAAAAACTGAATACCAGACCTCCTTGTGGATGGCAAATCAAGGAACCGTGGTTCTTCCAGAGCAACTTGGTTCTTGCAGTGTTCACTTCCTACAGAGCCAGAAGACTTAACAATAATAGTTGCTCTCCAATCATCTGAAGCCTGGATGTTTGGGTGAGGGGAAAAACACACACACACCAAGATCAAACAAAGTGCAAATATTTCTAACTTTATGAGAGATGTAAAAAAAGAGCTATTGGACCAGGAAATGAAACAGCTGCTCAATGGAGGTTGGAAAGGTATATCTTTTCTTTACAAATAATTGTTCTCCTGGTTAGTTAATGCTTCCCCAAAAGAAAATCATTTTTGGCAGGACAAACAACTCCAATGGCATTAGCATACAGGGGAGTTTGTGTGTGTGTGTGTGTGTGTGTGTCTGTCTGTCTGTCTGTCTGTCTAAAAGGCAAGATGGCAATTTTGCACCTGCATCTTGTTGCTTTATGATACCTTCCACAGCAGAAACTGTTGAGCCTTGAGCTCAGTAGATAAGAAACCTTCAGTCGATGCTGAAATTTAATATGGGACTTTGCATTACCTACTTTGCTCCCTCTCAGAACTGAGATTTATTTATTTATTTATTTGTTTGTTTGTTATCCTGTCTTTATTATTTTTAACAGCATAACAAAGTTGGCAGGATCCTTGTTGGAGGTCATCTAGTCCAACCCTGCAAGGCATCCTGCTCCAAGAGGCTACACCGGCATGACAAATCTCACATGACAGACTCATTTCTGGCAGAATTTGGGGGAGAGAAAGAAAGACTTCTGCTGCTTCTGCTGCTTTCCTTGCCTGAAGCCAAAAGTCTCTCTCTCTCTCCCCCCCTGAGAATGGAGGTGGAGACGGTATCCTGTGATCCCAAATAAAGATTGATCGATCAGTAGGAAAATGGGGTGAGGAATTTTCCTGCAGACTTTTGTTAGAGTTTTCCTAGGGTCTCTGGTCTGCGGGATTTAAAATTATGAGCTTGGTGGTCCCTGAGGTCCAAAAGGTTGGTTACCCCTGCTCTAATCAATGGTGATAGAAAATCACACAATTGTATATACGCCTCACATCCGAAGGCCTTTTGTTTCGACAGGGATCATTCTTTGATTGTAGTCTATGAGAAAATCCTTGGATCCATCATACTGAGAGTTGAAAATGGATATAAACACTACAACCAAGATAAATCTGACAGTTTTCAGTTTAGTCTGGGTCTCTATTAAGATACTGAAATAATTAGGCATATAATAATTACCTCTGGCTCATAACGGACAATGACATTAAAGTCCATCAGAAATGGAATGTTGTTGATCAAAAAACGTAATCCTGCTTTGCTTTGCACACGGACAAAACCCAGTCCTGACCACGTCATGGGTTTTCCAGGCACAACCTCTTTAATCACAATATTCAGAGCCGGGTTTCTGCTGAACGGAACCGGATTCTAAAAGAGGGTTTTAAAACAACACCTTTATTCTAGTAGCCAAGTGCATCCAAATAAACTGGCAGAATAAGCACCGTGCTTTTTGGTCTCTCGTTGCTTCAGAAAAAAAAGTTTCTATCTCTCTCTATAAAAGCGAAATACCACTCATGCATCATCACAAAATCTCCAGAACTGTAAAGCCTACAAACTTGAAATTTGGCCAGTATCTTCCTCTTGGCTTCTAGATGCTCACTAAGAAAGGATTTTTTGAAATGACCATCAGAGCATTAGTGTTTCCTATATTATTATTATTAACACGCTCTGATGCTGAGGAGTTCTACTCCCCCTCCCCAACTGAAACAAAATCTCTTCCAAATGCAAAACACAAGCAGAGGAGAGGAGTTTCCATTTCAGTTTCACAGCAGTAAGCAGCTTTAGTACACAACAGTTGAGCTAAGCTACACCCAGACTCCTTGCTGTCTCCTTCTTGCTCACACAGCAAATACTGCTTCAGTTTCCAAACAGCCCTCATCTCTCTCACACACTGACAGGATGCTAGCCAGATGAATACTGATAGATCCTGGTAGGCAGAGGCAGAATTCCCCCCCCCCCATATTTTCCTCCCCCAAAACTAAGCCCACCCACATAATTTTGTAGCGAAGCACGGGTATCAAGCTAGTAAATATTAATTTTAAAAAATTAAGAAAAACATTAGATTTACTTGTCCAGCTGTCAGCTTTCTGTTGCTCCTTTTTTTCATCTTCTTCAAGACAATTTTCCCGTTTTCAATTGTGAAATCGTAGCCTTGTTGCTGAAAATAGACATCACAGCGTGGCATGGTTGTTGGTTGAACCTTATAAATATATTGAAATAATAACAGTATCAGAATCTGAGAGTTAGTGGTAGAAATACATTCCGTGCAATCATACTGTGAATGATTAGGCAAACATGGAAACGGCAGAATTTAAACTGTGTCCCCATTTCCCTGTAGAAATGGAACTTTCCGCCATTTTGAACAACAAATTTAAATGGAAGGAAGTTAAACCTCCATTTTCAGAAGTTATTATACTTATGAAAAGAAGGGGGGGGGGGAATCACAAAGAGAAAGAAGATAAACATCTTTCAGTAGGCCAGATTGGGGAAAGCTACTCTAAATATGGCAGCTGCACATATTTTTATGGAATTGAGGTGATTGGATGGAGCTGAGCATTTAGTGGCCAGATGCCCTTCCAGATGCCGATGAGGAGTTCACAGCAGATATTTTCTCTTGGCGCTTTAAGAGAGAAACATCTGCTGCTGCCTAGGATTAAACTCACAACCTTCCAAATGGGAGACTACCAGTGGTGAAATTCAAATAATTTAACAACCGGTTCACCCAGGGTCAGATAGGCTGTCGTGGGA